TAGGCAAAATAACTAGAAACATAAATAATTAACAATTACTTAAGTAATCGAAGTATGTTGTAACGACGACTCAGGCCATGCAACATGTAGGTCAACAGATTTGTAGCTTCATATGGAGGACATTCAGAATCAAGGTTTGGCCACAAAACATCTATCTTGTTCACCAAGTTACGGTATGGCTTCCAGTTGTTCCATTCCCGAACATAAGCTTGAGCTTTGCCTTGTAAGAAAAACGATCTGTTTACATAACCTTCAGCTTCGGTTTGCAAGGAAGGAAATTCACCTATTCTGAGTGCTGTTGACATTATTGGTGGAAAACGATATTCTTTATCTGCTTCACGTATCCATCCTTCAATCATCTGTTTGAAAAAACTAGAATAGTCAATGTCTGACATATTTTGATTTTTGGTGACATTATGATCTTGTACATGGTTTGCCATGGAAGATTCAGTCAACAAGAAAAGAATGAAGAGTTTTATGGCGAGAGACATTAGCGGCGACATCAAATAAGGCTTATGAAAAGAAAAGAAAAAGGCTTTCTGTATTCTTTCTGACATCTGAGATGTTCTGTTATATATATATATATGATATCCATACTGAAATTTCTCCTCTCCTTTTTCTCCTGGGATTAGGGTTATAAATTAAACTAGATTTTGAACCCGCACCTCCGTGCGGGTAATTTCTCATTTTATAAAAATATAAAAAATATTTCAGATATATGATTTACATTTTATTCTTATATATTGTATAACTCTATAATCTTATTATTTTAATTATTTTATATAATATATTGTTGTAATTTTTTTAAATATCATATATTTTTTTTTAAATAATGTTTTTGTTGTGAGTTACAAAAATATATGTTAACATTTTTTGTATAAAAATATTACATGATTTAAAAAATTAATATGTTTTAACAGTGAATAAAATAAAATTTTAAAATAAAATATTTTTCTTTACCAATTTAATATATTTTATATTAGTTTCACATTGCATTTTTATTTTAGTATAATATAGAATATCATTAAATTATAAAATATACCAATTTTTATTTTTAATTAACATTATATATATATTAATCACGAAATTAAACAATATATATTTTATAAAAATGTTTAAATTTCTTGGTAAGATCTTGTTAGATATTTTCTCAACAGATTTTGCTATAAATGAAATTAAAATATAAATTTATAGTTATATATTATTAAAATATTTCTTCAGTAGTATATAGATATTTGATTGATTAATATAAATAATCAAATATGTCATATTAATGAAATGGTCCAAGATGACTTTTGTGTAGTAGATATAAATGGTACTTCTCTTTTAATATAGAAGATTTATAAACTATTTTTTTTTTAAAACAGGAAGCTATATAATAAAGATAAATTAAAACGATACAGCTAAAATGCCCAAACAAATAAAAATTAGTTTTCTTGTTCCCTAAAAAAATTGGAATCTGATATTCCAAGTAACTGTTTTAATTATAACCCTGGTAAATAATTTCTTTAAATATGATTTGGATAATCATAACTTTAAAAGATCGTGTTATCAAAGAATTTTGGGAAACAAGATAATTACTACTTTCTTTGTTATTCTGTTTTTTTTTTTCTGATTAAGTGAAAGTATAAACTTTAATCCCAGCAGTAAAAGGAAATAATACTATACAAACTCTTATCCCAATTGAAAAAGAACTCAACAAGCTTGTATATATATAAACATAAACTTCTATCATCATCAGGCTTGAATTTAACCCAAAAAAACTAACCGATCTCTCCAATAATGTCTGTGGCCATAAAATTCTTCATCATCTTCCTTTTGGTTGAAAAATCCACCGCACTTTATTGGCCAGCTGATCCGACCTCCGAGGAGAAAAAAGGAATCGGTCTAAATAAGTCAGAGATTGACTTTATCAGTATTCTTAGAGACACAGTTCGAGGATGGCAAATAGAAGCAGATGCTAAATACTCACTTTGGACATCTTCCGATTACATGACCCGATCACTATTCCTACAAGACAAAGTTCGAGGTTATGTTGACAAAGTTCGAGGTTATGTTAAGCTTTGGGGTGAGTGGAAGAATCATACGGGATACCCATACGCTGACTTGCATAAGAAGATTTACGGTGACTTTTGGCCAAGGAATGAGATACTTTGCCGTCGAATTGAGGGTATAGATCTTTTCATGTATCTTTTATATGGCCTTAGTGCAGAATCGGGTATGGTTTAATTGTATTTTCGTTTTTTTTTTTAAACTTTCGGTTTTAGAATTGTTTTGTAATTCAATTTTTTTCTCCTTTTGGTTTGACTCTTGCTAGAGTTTTTTCTTTTCTTTTCATACTCTTATTTTATGGATATCTTTTGGAAAGAGATACATGCAATGCAACGTTACTACCTATATAAGCTTCACCTTCTACGAATGAATATGTTGTTAAAAAGAAAACTAATATATTTTGGAAAGAGACAACTAATAAACCTGAGTTCGATTGTTGCTGCGATCCAGTATAACTGATTTTTTTTGTTTTTGCTAACAATAACTAAACTAAGTACCAATTCAGAAATCCTAACTGCTGATACTGTGGGTATAGCTGATTTTTCTTTTATTTTCTCTTCATGTTTGGTTACTTGAATTGAAACTGGATACAACTCAATTAAATCCACTATAGCTAAATACTGAATTTAATTTCACAAAATTAAAGTAAAAAGATATACCTTATTCTGTTGGACTGTTTAGGGATATCCGAGAATCATCTTTTAAAAACCTGCTAACTATCATTCTCATTATTACCGACTTTCAAGTACATATCGATTCATTTTCAAATATTGGAGGTGAAGAAGTTGTGTTGAAATATCAGTTTAGATAAAAAAATAGAATGATAAAGAGTTTTCTTCGGAGATGAAGAGGTTGCATGGAGGTAGGATTGGAGCTCCTTATGTGAGGCTTCAAAGGTATAGCATTCTTTTTCTTTTTGGGTATGTTTGTATCTCGTCAATGCAGCTGATTAGAGATCCCAGAGTTAAAAAAACCAATAGTGAGAGAGACCTGATGTCAAGATAAGCATGGTTTTGTCCTAGATATGATAATACACACGATCCCCTCTATAAAATGGTTATGAAGGGGGTTTGTAGATTTCTCTATGTTGATTACTTTGAGTTTGAACATGAAAAAAAAAACAAAACAAAAAATATTAGAGAACAAATTTATCAGAGCCAGGTTTCGATCCTGGGACCTGTGGGTTATGGGCCCACCACGCTTCCGCTGCGCCACTCTGATTTGTTGATTATTTAATACTAGGTGTTTTGCCCGCACATGCGGGCTTAATTATTTTTAAGACAATTTTAAAATCATCAAAACAAATGATTATTTTCATCCAAAAATTAGACCTAGAACATTAAACGTTTTTACATGATAAAACTATTCATAAATTAAAAAAAAATCTATTTTTCCCTTCAAAACTTTGAAAACAAAATTTTATATAGTATAACATTAATTCATGTTTAATGTTATACTATATAAAATATAAAATAAATTTAATTTAACGTGTGAGTTCAGAGGCGAAAAATTACTTCACAAATATATATATCATTATGTTATATTATTATATTCTTTTAATTAGAAAATAATTACGTATTATAAATTTTCAATTTTCTCTTTTCAAATATGTACAATTAAAAAGTTTCTTTATGAGTATTTATTTATATGTTTTCTGTTTTTGATTTTTTATTAAAATATATTTTCCGGATAACAACACAATATATATATATATAGGAATTATCTTTTTTCTTTTTAAATATATATTTATTTTATGGATAATTCTTATCATTATTATTAATTTAAATCATTTATCTAATGAAATAAATATCAATTTCGTTTTTATTATATGTCTAATTTATATATTTTATTCATTAAGGGTATAAACGATATTAACCACTCCAACTTTTAACGTGAGAGCTCCGTTGCGAAAAATCACTTCGCAAATAATAGTATAGATTTAATTAAATATTGTGATAAAACAGAGGTTGTTAGTTTATATGATGGGTGGTCAAGCTTCGAACAAAGCCGGTTCATACTGCAAGGCTTAGTGATCTTTGTGTTTGAAAAGCTGGTATCGATATTTGGGAGCTTATTACTCTAGGGAGATCAATCAATCAAATCAATTACTCAATCTGTTTGCTTGAATTTTACTAAAATGGAATAATGGATTATCAGGTACTGAGGCTAAGGATTCTAACAAAAGACTTGAGAGCTACTAAAAACGTCAAATTTCTTCCTTTACTTGGTATGCATTGTAAATCCCCCCTCCTTTATATCCGCATCATTTGTTGGAGATTGAAGAAAGTGTGCTTGTTAACTTGTTTTTTTCAAGTGAATTTGGTTTCCTTTGGACATATGTTGTTATGTCTCCTATGTCATATGAAGGCTTGTTATTATTATTTTTTTTTTTGAGAAAGTATAAGCTTTTCTGCTCATGATACAGATTCTCTAGCCCTTATGCATGTGCTAGCTAGTTGCAGTGAAGATAGTGGGGAATTATGTTTGGCTAAAAGTCAAGCAGTGAAAAACTCGTTGTCCTCATACTTCTGAAGGAATGCTATTTGATATTGGATCCCATTCAGTATCTTTTGGCATGTTTTTATCCTGCATGTAATCTTTCCTCCTGTGCGTGTATTATTTATGTCTTCTCTTCCATCTCAGACATTCTTCGGAATCTTCAGTAAGAACTCATTAGTATTTTTTTATATCCAGACAATTATGTAGTCTGAGCATGAAGTAGCTGCAAGTTTCTTTTTTATGTTTACTGTTTTCTTTTATGCTTATGTCGTAATGACGTGAAGCCTAAGAAACTAAAAGCCTAGAGCAGAAAAACTCAAAATGCCATACACAGAACTAGTAGCTACAAGTTTTTTCTCTATGTATCTCAGTTTGGTTCTCGCTCAATGGACGAGTTGGAGGTATTGTGAAATTCTGATTATTTGCTTGCATCTAATAACTGAATTATTATGGAGATATATTACTCATATATACAAGGTTTTGCGAAAAAAATTGAATTAATACCATACTAATTAAACAAGGAACAATGAAAAACAGAGCCAAAACTTAATATTACAAAACAAAGTTGAACCAAAAAATCAATGCATAACGAAAAATATTAAGAGTATCATAAACGAAACTTATAAAAATATTGGATGCAAACTAGGAAAATCTCGATTAATCTTCTATTTCTTATGATGTTCATCTATTTGATTACTTCAAACTGGAAATATATTGTAATAAATATTATGATTATAAATTGATATTTATTAACAACTGATGACAATTTATACTACATATAAAAATATATTGATAAGATCAAACAAAGCACATGAACAAAATGGTCTAGATTTATACAATATAACACCAAATTTTAAACAACATAGTTATGAAATTCTTATATAAACCAAATTTTAGCCCCTATAAAATTGAAAAAAATATATGCGGTGATGCATGGATCAACCTCTAATAAATTCATATTTAAGAGACCGGAAGCATATACTTATTTATTTTCGGTTGCAACCGAATATGATAGTTTAATATGAAGATTAAATATTAATTGAATGAAAATAAGAGTTATTATAAGAGTAATAAAATGAATGAGATGAATAATTTACCTGTGTTTCCCTTATTTTAGGGAGAGTTATGCTAGTTTTTTTTTGTAAACACTTTAACTTGAGATTATGCCGTGTACATTCTTATCTTATGCTTTGAGCTTTATGTATATGTATATATATAAGTGATATGTAATAGACACAAATCCAAAAAAAAATATTCATTAATAAAAGTTTCAAAAAATTACTTTTCTGCCGGGTTCAAGAATTTTATTCTCTTGCAAACATGAATTAAATAGACTTGCTCTTGCAAAACATAGCAAGATATCTCACAACATAAAAGGTAAAAAAAGTACACAACATAAAAGGGAAAAAATCAATCATGTGTTTGGTTTGGTTTGTTGTCTTTGCCTCACTAGACAGTGTAGTGTCCTGGAGTTTCAATGTCTAAGCCCTTTAGCTTGGCTACTGATTCCACATGTCCCTTGAGTGTGTGCAGCTCTCTAAGCCTGTAGTTAACATTTAAAACATTCAGTTAGTGTTACACTCCAGTCAAAGAATAGGTAACACGTAGAGGTAGAGATAAAAAAATGTTTACTATACCTAGCGATCTCAGCTCTTCTCTTGGCTTGCTCAGCAATCTCAGACAATTCTCTGTAAGTTCCTTGCTCAGGAATGACGTTAACAGGTTCTTTTGGCTGTAAACCGTGAAGTGTCCTCTGAGCAACTGCCCATTGAGCCTCCCTCTCTTCTTTTCCGAAATCTTTCTTCGTCGTTAAAGCCGTCCTGTTCTCAGTCATGTTGAGCCAAGCCTTTCCAGTCAAGGCGTATCGAATGGCAAACTTGAGAACGTCCAGTGGGAAGTATGTTACTATACTGAATATCCAGATCACTCCAGCCCATCCCCATCCAATACCTTTAACCTCAATGTTTCATGGGATTGGTTCCGAGCTCAAGAACAGTCATTTCTTCAAAGCAGGAGCATCGTTGACACCATCACCAGTCATTCCAACAATATGCTTCCTCTCTTGCAACTTCTTAACAATCTCGTATTTGTGCTCTGCAGTGTCCAAAACAAAGAAACTTAGATCCAACGGAACAACCACCTTTGCATTGAGAAAATCCACAAAAAAAAAAGAATAACCTGGGAAGACTCCAACAAAACCATCAGCCTGTTCGATCAGCTCCTCAACAGGAATGGTTGCAAGTGATGCATCTTTGTGATTACCAAGATGAGCTAAAGACGGATACATGTTTGTTCCCATTCCAAGTCTGCGACCAGTTTCTTTACCAATAGCAAGTTGGTCACCTGGCCACATATGTTGTACAGGGGAATGTTAGTGAAGGAAATGCAAATATATTTAGTTACCAGGACGAGACGAATATCCAACTTAAAACCAATGATATTTTTTAGCTTCTGATGTGAAATATTTGTTCCTAATAACAATATTGAAGAGTGAGGCATGGTTATTACCAGTGATCATCTTGACGTTAACACCAAGATGCAAAGCCCTTCGAGTCATTTCGGCACTGTCATGTCTTGAGGGATCAAAAAGTGGCAACAAGCCAACAAACTCCCATCGGCTACCTGGACTTTCTTTATTTTTCTCTGGCACCGTCTAAAGAACAAATATTAATATTTGTTTTCAAGCAGTAAACTAAAGTGTATCAAAGCAAAGTACCTGGCGAGCAACAGCCAAATACCTGAGACCATGCTCGGCATACTTTTCGATGATACCGAGCACGTTCTTGCTAAGGTCATTGCTGGCTTTGCAAAGTTCGAGGATCTGTTCGGGAGCACCTTTACTGACTCTGTGACAGTTGCCACTAGAGTCGATGTAAGTCAAAGCAGTTCTCTTATCAGTAGGGTTAAACGGAAGGAAGTGAATTTCTGTGATTCCAGCTCGAGCCTCTTTTGGATCAGCAAGTATACCAACCATGGCTGCGTCGATGGCATCCTGGTTCTCAATTCTTGATGCCATAGCTGCAAATAAAAGAAATTGGTCTTTCTGCACACCTTTCAGAAAACCTCAACCAAGTTTTTATCCACACTAAGTTTGTTGAGAGTTAACCTCAACCAGCCATTTCTTCAATGGCAGTCATACGCTTGGTGATGGCACCTTGCTGAGCAAGCTTGTGAGAGACAATAGCCATGGTTACAGAAAAGACCGTAGGCATGGCAATAGGGATACCACCAATCAATAGGACCAAGAGATTATCAATTCCATCTCTGTACTTTCGGCGTTGGATAGGGTACATTACAGGACGAGAATCTCAATCACCATACCGATGGCAATGGAACAGATACATAATTTACCAATAGCTGTAAGAACCCTCTGGAAATCAGGACCTGATGTGCAGAGACGCTGTTCTTCACCGAGAGAGGATAGCATTGTAGATACCTAAGGCATAGGGTCAATATGAAATATTTGTGTGTTACATACTAGATAGCATCTCTTACTGGGCCTTTCCCTCAGGGATTCCTTCCTCCACTCACATCTACGGATCTATACCAGGCTGTGTTAATTATTGGTAGGGATAGAAACCAAACCAAGTCGATTCAACTGGATCTAAACCGAATCCAAATCAAAACATATGTCCTATTTTTTTATCAACACAAACGTTAGTTCTAGTTTTAAACAGAAAAGAGACAACACAAGACAACATATTGGATTAAGTAATAAATAAATAAACGAATTGTGACCGTAGACCGTTAGTTAGTTTTTTGCTTGAACACCCAACCACTTCTTTAATTAAACCTCGCTAAACCCCGTTTGTTTATCCTAATTATTTTTTGCTTAAACATCCAACCACTTCATTAATTAAGCTTTGTGCTAAACCCTGTTTATTTTATCTTAGCTTCACATGATCTATGTTTTAAAGCATTTTTTCTTTTTGCCGCCTGGTCAATTACATAATTCTGTTACAAAATTTCGAGAATAATTACAAGGAAATTTTCAGTAAACTATTATATTCCGCTTTACAAATTTCTTCAGAATCCAGAATTCACCCCCACATTTCAAAGAAGCGGTTTCTATCTGTATTGTTGACTATAGTGAAGATTTCCTTTTAAATAACTTTCTATATCTTCTACAAACAAGTTCTCAAAATAAATTTGTGTGCAAACTATATCATCTAGAGTTGTATATCGAGCCTGATCATTAATTATTATTTAGGTAAAACTATTAGATTAAGGAGTCTTTGACCATCTATGTTTTGTAGACAATAGTGGAAAAAATCGAAATGAAAATTTTCAAAAAAAAGAACATACAAATGAATGACCAAACAGTGCATTAATAACCTTACAGGTTGTGTCTTCAATCAATCATGCCAGTGACTGTTGACGGCTGTTGTAGTTGCATAAAGAGAAACTAGTATTAATTAAAAAAATCATCAAGTGAATGAAGTGAGTGGGTTTCTTTTGTTTCTTGGTATTTGGTAGTTGAATTGCGAGTTGCTACTAGAGATGCAACTAATAGTTAAGGTTTATAACTCCAAACAGAAACCACAAAGTATATAATATATGGTTTCGAAAGTGTGAAGAAATAAACACACAGAAGGGATGAGTTGGAATGAAATTCAATTTTTGTGCGTTTTTGATGGGATTAGTTGTGATATAAGAAAAAAAATTGTTCTTTCTTCAGGAGTCTTAAAATACCTTCATGGAGTTTAGAGTTTTTTTCTGTCCAAATCTTATAAATTATAGCTTAGTGATGCAGATAAACATTTGACATATTTCCACAACAAAACAGATTCAAAATTGTTGGTTACCACAATCGAGTAGTTGCTGAGAAGAGTTGACAGTCGCGACTGACTTGCCTTGAGCAGAAGATTTGCAAACTCACGCTTCTCCAAGACAACATGGTATGCAGCCAACTTCTGTTTGTCTCGGACTCCACCATACGAAGAATTTGGAATGAACAATGTATATGGGAGAACCGCCCTCTTATCTCATCGTTTGTTTTCATGAATGCATCTGCCCAGTCTTCAAAATTTGCGTGATTTAGGGCATCAACTATCTCATGCTTCAAGTTTTCAACTGTGCCAGAGACAACGTTAGTCACAACAATGATTGAGAGGAAAATTAGAATTGATCGGTTCATCGTGAGAGGAAGTGTTTTTGTCTCTTTGTATTAGGAGTTGGAAACTAAGGTTTGGATATGAGTAGAGGTGCTAGTAGTAGTTTGTATTTATAACTCCAAATCATGTGATAATTACCATGTCCAATCTATGTTCTAAAAGTGTGAAGACATATATACACACAGAACTTATGAATTTGACTGATTCATTTCATTTCAATCTAGTTTCCTCTGTTCGAGCACGTTTTGGCTAAGTGTTCTGCAATTGGTGGTGGTGCATATGCGGTTGTCATGTCTGGAATCTGTATGAAGTTGTGGCATTAGAGATTGAGATGCGTGTCTGCATTCTGATTTTCTTTTCTTTCTCAAAACATTTTCAAGACTATCTATTATTACGAAGATTATTGGAACATTTCCATGCAAGGAAAGTAATTTTGTTTTGGTTTTGGTTATTTATTTCACTGGATTATAAATCCAATTATAATTGAGATGACTTATCAGTTATGTTATTTAATGATTTATTAATTATGTGGTCTAAGGAGAGAAATTATTTTTTCTTTCTATCAAAGGAGATAAATTGTTAATTCTTATTATTTGCTACGCTACACTGGCTTCCACACTGTTTAATGAATATATTTCTACTAAAATCATTTCTGTGTACATTGATCATGAACCATCAAGTTAAATAAAATGAGAAATTTGTAACAGAAAATTAGAATAACAAGCATACATTCTTGTAGAAATTACTGTTTCCATTTTTTTCTAAACTGGATTAAGTATCTCCGGTTTATTGTGATTAAAAATGTTTACAGAACCAAAATTGAATAAATAATGCTATAGATTTATGATATTTATCTATATTAAAATTTGAACTCCATAATATAATTTAAAAATTGATATGTATATGATGATTGAAATGATTCGGAAAAAAATTCAAAATGGAGATAAACTCTAGAACACAACCTTTAAATAGTAGTTTTAATACAATAATGGGTGTACTGGACAATTATCACATATGATATTGGCGCAATTAGTATATATAAAATGGTATAGAATAATATAGTTTATTTTATTGGTTATTGTTTCCTACATAAGATCCCACGTATATGCAAATTTTCTCTAGATAAAAACACCAATATCAAAAAATATTAAAACTATATTTTATGTGCTTCATACAACCAATTAAAAGTATAATTATTCAAAATCATCAACCCAAGGTACTAGTTATAAATGTTTCGATTGCATTGGTATTTAATGCTTATGCACCATACATCTCAACTATGTCTCTAACTAGTTTTTTTGCAAAAAAAGTGAAATTATGTACCTTTCATAAGTTACATTTCATTTTCTTTCAGGCAATTCATATTCTAAATATATTTCACTTTCAAATTATTGTTTTAAGAGTAAATGATAGCCCACTTATGCTTGGA